ATGCTACTAATAGGTGTTGCTCCCATCAGTTGACAAAACTTTCCCCAGAAGGTTTGCTGACAGGAGCTGGTGAATTTTTCAGGAGCACTTGAGTACTCATATATTGCCCTCAAGAAATGAAATAAAATGGAGAAGGAAAGGCAGGGGAAATTACCAAGACCTTGAGAAATGCTTGAAACCTATGTCTGAGAATCTACAGAAATCCCAAACGAATTTCATTTCTATAGGGGCACTTTCGAGTCCCTGCTATTGTCACTATGTCTGAGAGTATATACAAAGGAGCCCTGGTGGCATGGTTGAGTGTTGGGCTGCTAACCTCAAGTTTAGCGAGTCGAAACTGCCAGCTGATCCGAAGGTAAAACTGGGGCTTGCTTTCTACTCCTGTATAAAGAGTTATAGTCTAGGAAAGTCACAGGGGCAGTTCTACCCTGTATGCATGGTCACTCTGCGTGAGCATCTACTCAATTGTAGTAAGTTTTTAGGCGGTACATACTACCATTCTGTGTCAGCCTCCAGGGATACCCCAATAGTTGGACAAGTTTGTATTACAATAACTCTTTGCCCTAGTCTGTTCTGTATCTTCCCTGTTGGGGCTTCATCTGGATGAGAGCAATTTTGGCTGAAAACATGCTTTGAAACCTCTCCAGGTCCCAGATACTTCAGCTTTCTCATCTGAAAAATAGGGAAACTAATAGAACATATGTCATCAAATTGTTATGAGAATCAAATGAGTTAATATGTAGAAAAGACTTAGAACAATGTCTGGCACATGTTAAATGGTCAAGAAATGCCTTCCATTGTTATTTTCATCAGTAATAAAAGTATGGTCTATCCTAATAAAGTATGGTCTTTTTCCATAAGACTAAGACCTTAGAGACAAGCCTATCCAATTTCCTCAGTTCATTTTACAGACAATAAAATGGCAACCCAAGAAGGTTAAATAGCCTCATGTAGAATGCCTTTGCTGTCCACAATATAAAGGCCAAGTGAGCGGGAAGAACATGGTCTTTGGAGTCTAAGAGTCCTGGACATGCATCCAGCTGTGTCATGTGCTACCTGTGTAATTTTGAATTCATTTCCTCCCTTCCGGGCCTTCTCTGAGTCCTCATCTGTAAAATCAGCATACACATTCTACTTTGCTGGATTGTGGTGAAATCTTGGGAAAAAAATGAAAAAGGGATGACAGGATAATGTGACTAGCCCATTGCCTAGGATGTAATGAATATTCAATATGGGGACTGTCGTTCTGGAGAAGAGCATTCAGCTGGGCTGAGGCAGCATGGATGCTAGAATCTTGGTCCCCTGGCTGCTTGCCAAACTCACCACTACCTCACCCCAACTTTAAAACTCAAGAACAACCAAACTCACTGCCATCGAGTCGATGTCCGCTCATGCCACCTTCTAGGACAGGTGAGTTTATGAGACTGTCCTTTTTGGCCAGAGTAATGCGCCTCTTTCACCCGAGGAGAAGCTGGTGCTTTCGAACTGCTGACCTTGTTCAACAGTTCAACTCCACACTGCCAGGGCTCCCCACCCACACGTTAGCAAACAGTGTGGTATCCCTGGGTTTTTTTCCCAGGGATTTGGTGGACATTTATTTTAATTCATTCCCCTCAATGATTAGCAGAGCTTTTTCTGAATAAGGTATTTTAGCATAGGCAGTTTTGTTCTCCCAGCTGAACCCCAACCTGCTGTGTCGGTTGGAGAGATGGGTGACTCGGAAACAAGTTGCAGAGATGATGAGGGAAAGCTGTTCAGCAGTGAGGTTGCCGATATGACACCTTTGTCTGGATGGAGATAGCTAGAGAAAGGTGAGGAGAAAACTGGAAATTGAACCGGACACCCTGATCTCCTTTTTAAAGAATAAGATGGATAAATTCTAACTCCATATAATAAGGCCTGACACTCCAGCTCTATCAGAAAACAGAATTCTATGAGTTTCCTATAATGGAAATTGGGCATGGACAATCTGTTCCATGCATCACTAAGTTTCAGAAGCCCTTCCCAGATTTAAAAGGCTTATTTCTAAGCCAAAGACCATGAGAAGTTCTACATTTAAGAAATCTAATGCTGCTGACTTCATCCTTGGTACAGACTCCCTATCAACATCCTATAGTGCATTGGCAGACTAAAGGACAATGCTTAGGAAACTGAACGAGGTTAGCTAATCAGAGATCTTAAGGCAACTGATGACTAGGGCCACGAGTGTGTGTTTTCTTGCCATTGTGATTCTCCATTACAACCATTAGACAACAGATAAATGGCTTAATAAAGATGGAGCCAGGCTTTACTATCTTGTATTCTCATATCATTTGTGGAGAGTGGCAGTACAGTGCATATTGGTACACACCTTCAAATGCTCCAGATGACAAAATATAGCCCGTTGAGTCCAGCTCTCCATGTTTACCTGACAGTGAAATTGGCTGAAAGGGGCAAAGATAATAAATTAATCAGAGGAGAACAAGCAAGTGGCCCAGTCCAAGGCCTGATGTCGGCCGAGCAGTGGCACCGCTCTTGTCCTTCATGTGCCATCGTGCCCACAGAAAAGCAACCACAATACTGCTGGTCTGGGACTCCTGGGGGATTTTGGGATGGAAACTATGAGCCCCGCCAAAAACCCTAATGAAATGCACATTACCATCCGAAGCTTGGAATTCACTTCTGTTAAAATGTGAAATAAAGTTCACGAAAGAAAGAAAAATGTCACTGTCTCCAAAGTGCAAACATTTTTTTTCACCATCTTTCCTTTTTCTCATATATTTATCCTCAATTCGCACATAATACCAAAACCAAGTCCACTGACAGTGAGTCTATAAGACAGAGAAGCCGAAAGCCTCATCTCTCTCCTTTGAAGCAGCTGGCAGATTTGAACCATTGAGCTTTCAGTTAGCTGCCAAATCCTTAACTCACTGCCACCACTACAGCTCCCGTACTCACATAAGCACTTATCAAATACATTCTTTTTCTCTTTTATTCCTCTAATACCTTTCCTCCCTTCATCCTTTTGTGGCCCTTTGGGAAAAAATATTAGACAAGAAAGATTAGAGGCTTCCTGCAAAATATAATAAGCAGCCCTGATGGTGTAGTGGTTTAGCATTGGGCTGCTAACCACAAGGTAAACGCTTCAAACCCACCAACCACCCTTTGTGGGAAGATGGTGGTCTCTGCTCCCGTATGTACGGTCTTGAAAACTCCAAGGAGCAGTGGTACTGTCTGATAAGTTCAGAATCCACTCAGTGGCAGTGAGTTTTTATGAGGTATAGCAGGCTTTCTATGAGGTATAAGAGAAGGGTTACTGCCAATATGGATTAGGCCTTGGGCTGCTAGCCACAAGGTCAGATGTCCAGAATCTCCACTCAATTGTCAACAGAAAGATGGAGCTGCATGCTCCCATAAAAATGTAGTCTTGGATAAGCAAATGTGGTGAAGAAAGCTGATGGTGCCCGGCTATCAAAAGATATAGCGTCTGGGGTCTTAAAAGCTTGAAGGTAAACAAGCGGCCATCTA